ACCAGAATCCTTGTTACCAGCTTAGCCATTGGTGCTTTCTACTATACTAGCATGTACAAAATTGGTCTTATTTGTAGACCACTAAATTGTCTCTTGGAGTAATTATCTTTATTATTTTTTCTGAAAATTATCATACTAACCTAAATTTTATAATCCAAGATATAAAACATGGTATAAAATGTAAAAAGCATGAGTATCATCATTATTTACCAAGGATTGGGATGATTTTGTTTGGCACTGTCCACAAAGATAAAAATTATTCTTTTCACTCCCATCATAAGTTCTGTATCCAGTTTTCTTATTATTTATATTCTGTAGGCTCCAATATACTTTCATAACACACCAGTGAGAATGCTAGCCTCTGTCCTCTGCCCGAGGAGTCACATTTTAGTGTACATTGACCTAAACTCACAGGGAGGATACTCCAAATACAACATTCAGCTGTTTTTGATGAGTGGCATCACTGAGGGTTTCAAAGTTCCAAATTGAAAGACACAGAAGATTATTATCACTATTTCTTCATGTTCTGTTGATTACTGGAGTGAAATTTTGAAACAGTATTGAAGTATCATTAATTTGTTTATCTGACAAACCAAAATATAAAATGTTGAGAAAGTGTCAAAATAGATATACAGCATTTATTACGGATTACTTTGGGGATAAATAGTAATATGTTATGGTTGACATTAAAAGTACAATAATAACACTTCAACTTTGAAATAGTAGTTTCAAGCTATGAGATAATATATTGCTAGTCACATCACTTCAGTGAATCACTTCAAATAATAGAAAAAATCTTTTTGGGTATTATGTATGATGACAGCTTTTTTATTTGATTTATCATTTCAAGTGTTCATGGAAACAGTTCCACCTTGAAATTCAAATTAAAATGTCCTTCCACAAATCCCTGTGCTTAGGTCAAAAGAATTACCAACAGTTGACAATACCAAGTGTTGGTAAAGGGATGGAGGAGGAAGTTCCCATCTAGAGCTGATGTGAGTGAAAATTTGGTAATTGCTATATTAATTTGCATTCCTACCAACAGAGAAAAAGTTTCCTTTTATCTACATTCTCACCAACACTTGTTATCTTTCAGCTACTTTAGAAAAGAATCTTTACCTGTTTATACTTCTGACAAAATAATATAATCAAAAAATTCCATTCCTGAGTATATACCTATGGAAATATATTCACATGTATGTCAGCAAACATGTAAAAGAATGTTCACAACAGTAAGTTTTTCAATAGCTAAAAACAACTATAACACATCTCAGGAAATCACAGTGAATAGAAATTTTGGTTGTTCATACTGTAGAATGAAATTTTATACTATATTAAAAATGAATTAACCAAAGCTAACAACCTAACCAAATCTTACGAATCAGGGCTCAAGATGTGGCTGTGAGGTCCTGGGTTTAATTCCTAGAAAGAAATCTTACAAACATATTGCTTATTATAATTTAGGATATGAATTTATATGAAGTTAAAAAAATAGTAAATACTTTCTAATTTATTTAGGGCTACATAGAAAATCAGAAGAAAATACTGTATATATCAAGATAGTGTTTTACTGAAAAATAAATGTGACTGTGTATGCATGCCCATGGGCAGAGGATGCTTCTGCAATATAGACAAGATTCTGTTTCTTTACTTAGTGGTGGTTAAAAGACTGTTCACTTTCTGAAGATTCACTATGTTGTACATTTATGTTCTGTGGACATTTTTCTCTTACTGTATTATAGTTCGCCATTTAAAAAGCTGTGAAAATTTCCTTTTAAAGCCACATTTCAGTGTGGAAAAGAGTATGCTGCAAAGATATGTACCACCGTCTGATTTTATCCACAAATTTCTCTATTATATCCAATATCATAGAATCAAAATTAGGAGACATTTTGCTCGTCACTGGTCATTCTCTGAGAATAACAAAACACGAACAGTGGCAGCTTGTCATGAAATCTTTCATTGTGTGGCAATGCTTTTGTCTCTGGACACAGGCCTGATGCCCTGTCAGTAACAGAGCCAACACTCTTTTCCCAGTCTGCATCATGCTTCAAGAAAACACCACCGACAGACTGAAATTTTCCAATAGTATGAATTTTGAATGATTAACAGAAAAAAAAGTCATCAAGCATTTCTCAATGTACTGTCCACATAGTAACCAAGATATGATTTGTACCTTATATACCAGTCATTTTGTTTTGCCAAGTGAAAGGCAAAATAATTCCTAGAACATGCGCGTTACACGATATTAATGTTCCATGACATTATGGGAACATGGGAAGTTTGACCAACACACAGTGTATGCTTTCACTTTGGGCCATTAATTGTCATTAATGCTGAAGCTAGTTTACTGGTTATCTAGGAAAACTATGACTTATATCCATACCTGTTTTTGAGACACAGAATGTAACTTCTGAAATATACCTCAGTAGTTTTAATATCCCCATTTTAGCAATGAAATTCAGCAATTTAATACTGGAAAATATTTTTACAGAAAAAGTCATTTTTTAAGCTTGAGAAGTGGATCATACTGGTATGCAAAGGTTTAATGGCTTCATGCCGCTATTTAAGTTTTATAAAAAGCAGTTTCTTAGGGAGTAAGGTCAAAATGATTGCTAGGTTTGTTAAGTAAAAGTTTACTTTGTTTATGTTTTTATTTCCCACTTTTACTTTCTATATTTGGCTTCTTCTACCTGCTTCCCCCATGTCTCATCCCATACATAATCATATTCTGCATTCAATATGCAAGTTGGTCCCGAAGATGATTATGGTGGTGAAGTATTTCTGTCAATACTTTTAAAACTATCTTAATGTTTTCATAAACTACTTTCATGTGATGGCTCCTTTTGTAAAATTAGAATTTAATAATAAACCCAAATAGTAACAAAGAAAGAAAAAGCAAATGTAACAAATGCAAACCGTAACAATAATAATGTGAAAATAAATTAATTTGAATATGCTGTATACAACTGAATGGGAGCTGACTCCAGATCACTAAAGCCCTCAGAATCCAAGGGCCACATTTAGGATGTTAATCACTATCAAGAATATAGCACACCCCAATGAAATTTATGTCTTTATCTTGCATCTTAAATGTGTTAAATATTTGTGAGCAGAGGTTTTTAATCTCTTTTTCCTTTGAAATTTCTATTCTGTTTGCTGAAAAGCCACCAGAGGACACAAGTGATTTATGGACCACACTCTAAGAAACACTATTGTATGTCATGCTGTGATTTTCAAAACCAAAATCAAAACTTTCAAAACCAAAATGACCAATTTTAGGACCCATGAAAATCTAACCCCTAGTAATTGAGTTCAAAATGCCACATTTCTTAGCTTGTTCTGAGAGAAACTTTTTTTTAAAGAAATGATTTTGTCCAAAACAATTATGAAAGTTGTGGGTACCTTTTTCTAAAACTTAAACTTGGGTCTCAGAGCTCCACCTTATTTTGTGCTTTAGATAGACTTGGGCTTCAACCACCATGTATGATTCACACTGTCAGACAAAGGAAGTTAGTGGAGTTAGCTTGACCAAAAGAGCCACAGGTGCTGGAGTTCTGGGACTCCCTTTCCACAATGCCAAGCTTTTAGGAAAAAAAACTTGTGTGAAAAGTCAGAACATTTACTTCAAGAGCAAAACCACAAGATTGGTAGGCCTGAATATGAGTTAGGTCCTTGACTCCAAATCTTGTTTTCCCCAAATTTTTGATTCTTTTCTATTTTATCTCACTGCCTAAAATGAACAGATTGAAGATTCTTTGGAATTAATTTACATGGTATTTTAAAATGCAAATAGCTTGATATGATTAAGAGTTTACTCATTATTCAATATTCAAATTCTTCTGATCATGTGGCATCTCTGCTGATGACACCAAGGTGTCTGGGCCAAGGCAAGTGAGGGGCTGAATGGAACTGGTCCTACACATGAGACAACAGGAAAGGAGGAATTTACAATTAGAAAGTTTACAGAGACATGAAACTACTAGGATCTGAAAAAATGACTGCAACAAAGTGAGATAAAAAAGTATAGGTGAGTTTCTGGAAGAGGAAGCGGAACCAACAGCATCTTCCAAAGAGTTCCTTGGGACAACCCTACCAGCAATGCAGGAAGAAACTGTTTTTGCTTTCTTCTATTCAGTTACTTTGGGGACTTATACCCCTAGACTCCCATGTAAATGAGAAATAAAATTGCATCTTAGACTCTTAATCCTAATACAGCATTTTAAATACATTATACATTACATTATGGATGGAAAAGACATTGCAGGGGCTGGGGTTGTAGCTTAGTGGTGTGTTTACTGAAGGTCCTGACTTCAATTCTCAGCCCAGGAGGTAAAAAAAAGGCTTTGTGAGAAACTTTTCTATTACCTTTATAACATCCTTTCCACAAGATAGCACAAATTCCAAACAATTAGATTATAAATACACACTTGGAACACAACCTACTTTTAAATAAAATATTTTATATTTGCTAAAGTGACTTGCATTTCACGGCATCTATTGCTGCCCCCAATTTCTAGAGAACATTCTGATGATTCGTAGAAATAGGATAATCATACTTTGTTATTAGGAGGTGTCATATAATGCAAAAAGAAAGGATTGCCAGAGGAATGAAACATGTTTATTTTTTCTAATTGAAAAACCCAAGTGACCTCATTCCCTAAGGACATCTTTTAGAGAACTATGAACATATTTGGAAACCATATCCCAGCTGGGGGAAAAAAACAACAGTGGAGTGAATGAGGATATGGTTTCAAGATTTCATAAGAAACAAGAGAGTCAAATCAATCAGTAAAAACTCTCACTGCAGAGAGAATAGCTCAATTAAGGAGAATGGAATGAACCACCCTGGGGGACTCACTTGCTCATCATTAGCTCACACTGAGTTCCAGACACTCAGCTTTCTTTTTCTACAGTTTTAGCCACAAACTTCAAGATGTAACTATTTCCAAGTATCTCTATGTTGGAAATCTACTTGCTCTCATGGTGCTGTTTGAGAACTCGGCAAGCTGGAACAGTGGTTTTGTGGGCATGACTGAAAGCCTTTAAAGGCGCAAAGGCCATGTCTTGCCTCTGATTTATTACTTCCTGAATGGGTATTATAGAATGATCCCTTCTGCTCCCAACCTGTGCTGCTAGAAGGAGGTAGGAGGGAACAAAGACATAGGTAAGAAACATTCATTAGTTTTTTACTTTCTTGGAAAAGTGTGTGCACATGTGTGTGTGCGTGTGTGTGTGCGCGCATGTGTGTGTTACCCAGCCTTGGTTATTTATTAGGAATTTAGTAGTTCATTCTCAGTCCCTGTTAAAAGTGTATATAGAGATCCAGGTTGGTAAAACCGACTTCTCAATTTATTGCAGCAGATTGAATGCACTTGTATTCTCATAGGCAATTGGATGTGTGAGGAGCAAGCACTGCTGCCAACAGTTTGAACAATAACCTGGCATAACGTCGTGTATCTTCTGGACTCTCTGAGATCCAAATGACACAAAGGAAACCAGGCTGAAGTCTGGGATTTGCTATACAAAAATAAAGTCTACCTTAGGAAAACAAAGGAGGAAACATTAAGACCTTCAGAACTGCCAGTTTTTCTATGGGGACACAGTAAAAATCTCAAATTATTAGTCAAAAGATTTTTTTCTCTGACAAGAAGGAAATGACCCACCATCCCTTCATGCAAGGTGTACAATGAGCTGAGTGGGAAAGGCATTAAAGTGCTTTGTCATGAATTACATCAGTCAGCCTCAATCAAATTAGGAAACCACAAATGAGAGGAATTAACTTATAAGTGAGAGGTTCACCTTTTTATATAAAAGAATGAGCTCTTCTACTAAGGTCTTGGTTTGGAAGATTCATTCAAACAGAAAGCTGAACGCACTCTGTGGTACTGTTTTGTTTGACTGATTTAAATGCAGTCACAGAAGTACAATGTCATAACTTTCCCTCTAGACAAACAGGTTCTTTATGCCACTGTTTCAGTCAAGGGAGTCAAATAATACCTTTTTTATTGCAGTATTTTTAGACATTGGATACATCTGGAAAAATATTCAACCAGATAATTAGATTGCGTTAGCAATGTGTCTGTTGTGGTTTCCCTGATCCCAGGGAAGGCAGCCCTTTATGAAGCACTTGGCCGCATGATCCACTGAAATCTGCTGTGTAAATTGGCCCACACTAAAGCATGTGGAAAACATTTTTTGGCTGAAACTCGAAACCATTCATGTGGCTTTGAGACTGGGAAGCTCGGGCTGCCAACATCAATAGAACTTTGTACTACAAACCCAAATGGTCATTTAGACATGTGTACTTCTGTGCTCACAAATGCACTGAGGTCAAATATTTTTTAATCTTGGGAATTTTTTCTCTTTATACAGCCTCATATTTCATTCAGGAAATGAGACTGAGTACAACAAACACAAATCATTGAGACTGACAGAGCATATTGGGTTCAAAACCCAACCCCTGACTCTAATTGCTCTCCAAAGGCCCCTGGCTCAAGGTAACTGTTGATTTAGTTCAGCTGTTTTCAATCAGCACTGTAAGGTTTCCCTAAGACAAACTGGTGAGGCCGAGTTGCATTTGTACCCAGGAATCCCTTGGGTATAAGTATAACACAGTTAGCATTTTAAAAGATTGCATTTGTCTGTGCACTGCAGGCAGTAATTACAAGCAGGCAAATCTTTTGTGAAAGATGGTGTGACCCTCCTTCTGGTGAAAAAGTGATGATGGATCTAGTGGAGGACAAATAATGTTTCCATTCTGGGTTCAGAGAGGAGCCCTGCCTCTTTTCAAAGTTGCCAAACTTGACAGCCAGTTTGTTGTTGTGTTTTGGTGAATATCAAAGTACTTTATTCCTGGAAGGGGCCAGTTTCTTAGTATTACTTAACTGCTGGAGGATTTTAAAAAGCAGACCATTCTGCACTAAAAGAGAAGTAACTGCTAAATAAACGACATTGAGATGCACTTGGTCGGGTGTCTTTAATTTCTTATCCTGAGTTTTTATACGCAGCCCACCGGTAGTTGTAAAAAGCTGAAAGATCCGAACATATATATTTATATTTGGAATAATATTTTCAGTCTGGTGCTGGCTTTGAAGTTGCAGAGTGGACTTTAAAATGAATATTTTGCATTCTCTGGCTATGGTCCTGAATTTACATATTTGAATCAAATTCAAATATCTGGTCTAGACTCAAAGACTGGCATTAAGCAAAGACTACATTGCTAATAGTGCCCAGAAAAGCACAGTCTCATATGTAGTTAACAGGATCCCTTGAAACCAAACAGTTTTGTTTCAGTAACTTTCTAGTTAGAGATTCGTATCTTCATTCTTTTCTCACTCTGGCCCCAGGCCATCCCTGCACATGTGTTTGCACATGCACACACACACAGAGTTTTTCTAGGAGCTGAAAGAATGCTAAACACACAGTAGGTGGTGAATAAGTATGCGTATCTGAGTGACACTGATGGAATAAATGCAGTATTGTGCATATTAAAAATGCAGGTGCCTTGTTTAGTGAAGACTGAAGGCATGCCTCTGCTTTGTACACCATATAAATTGCCCACATAATCTTGATTTTTCAAAAAAGAAGTTATTCAATTAAATATTGACTCAAGCTAGTAAAAATAAGTTTAAATAAAAATTCAATTTATGTTCCATTTTTTCAGGACTATTTTTTGGAGAAAAGCGTGTGTATACATGTGCATACATATGAGTGCAGGTTTATGCCTGTGATAATTTATTGACTGTATAAAAGGCACATTTTTATATCAATTACCTTTTTAAAGTGCTCGTGGTTCTTGCAAGTTAACGTTTGTGTGTGGGTACCTGTATGCATCTATGTACCTGTAGGCATTTATGATAATATAGTCACTTTCTAACAATCACTTTCTATTTTAAGTTCTCTTCTATGGCTATTAAGTTTTTCAGAATTCTGTTACTCACTGAAATAAACATGCTTGTAATTAAGCTTTTTCTTAGTTAAAAGCAGGCAACTTAGAAAGTTACATTTAACTCCCATAACTTTAAGAGTAATAAATATCAAATTAAATTGACTTGTACGGTAACACTTTCTGTGGTTTCCAAATGTGCATGAACCAGGAAGAAGATTGCACACTGAAAGAAGCTGGCACATTAAATATATTTATATCTTTCCTTGGTAAGAAATAATAATAACCATTGTTCTATAATGATTTGAACCACCTCAGTGTTAGATTCCAGAGTAAACTGGCTGGAAATCACATAAGTAACTTGGTTCTGAGGGAGAGCTCCTGAAAGTGCTGGTTACCGGGTAAATTGCAGACCCCATCATCATTTTCTCTAATGCATCCAAAATGTCTGGAGGGGATTGTAGATTTCTCACCTACACTGCCTTCAGGCGCAGCAATTACGGAAACCACACCTAAAAACATTCAAATGTGGAGTCACGGAATCTTGTCTTTGGGAAAAAATTAAGAATAGAGGCTTTCTTCCCCTGCTAAATACTGAGTTAGTGCTCAGGCAGGTATGGACTTAAGTCCTTTTATTTTTACTAACCAGCCATGTAATTGTGAGCAACTCATTTACTTCACTGGGGATCATTATACATACTTCATAACATTGGATAATCGAGACTATGGGAAGTACTTAATGTATCATCTTTCTCACATTCTCTGATACTTGTCTTTCTTTTCAGTGTTTGTGAAATGAGGGCATATCTCACAACTGACACCCTTTATTTTGTTTCCTTTTTTCCCTGAAAGAACATGCGGTTGACAAGCTATAAAACTGTGAAAGTATATTCTCCTAATCCGTTTACCCCAAAAATTGCAATTTAAAACAGTTTTTGTATGAAATTCATATATGTTACCTAGAAAAATTCAAGGAATAAGAATTAGAAGAGAAATATTGTTATTATGTCTTGTTGTCATGTGCATTCCAAAAACGGAATTGAAGTGCTGATTCCATCTCCTTCTTTCCAGGCTCTCAGCCCACCCATCCTTCCCAATCTTTCATTTTTGGTCTCCAATGGACACCATAGTTCTGTGGACCAGAGTACAGGCATTGGAACAAGGTACTGTATCTCTGATTCCCAGTTTCCCTGCTTATTAGCTGTTGATCTCGGGCAATTTATTTAATCTTTTAAAGTCTCAGATTCCTCATTATCCAGAAGAGGCTTGAAATATGAAGCTTACAATGCTATCATAAGGATTGTAAAGCGCTAGCATTGTACATGGCACACAAGAAACCTGTCGTGTATGTTTGTTAGCAGTTTTATTACCAGTCCTGCCTTGTAAGGAGAACAGATGACAATGTTTGGCAGTAAATTGAGAATACTTGCTTGGTTCCTGGATCATCTTGTAAAGATATTTGCCAGTCAGAGTACAAACTTCATGGATTTGACTCCAACTGAAACTATTTATAATCACTCAGAGCTCTCAGTTGCACAATTTCCATCAGTTCTTTCCCTGATAATTCTCTTCATCACTTTCTTTATATTCAAAATCCATTCCCTCATGGTCTGTGGCCAATACCCTCTATTTCTGCTGTCATTGTCCCCTTGAGTAAGGACAACCCTCCTGCTGGATGTAGTCATGCTTCTGGAGTGTCCATTTCTGCTGTCATCATTCTGTCTATACTGGAGGAAATTACATGCCTCTACTTGACTTCACCATCCCATGCATGAACTAGATAATTTCCTTAATTCCCCACACTTTCTTTGAGGCTAGATTGTAAGACTTTAATGACTTAATTGACCTGCAAAGATGATGGAAGGGAAATATTCTGGAAAATCCATAAAGTCACTTTCTTTCTAGCCTCTGAATTCTTTCCACCTATTAGACATCCATTTACTTCTCTTGTCTGGAGTATTTTGAGCACCATGTGCTTTGAAGCTTACCCATAACAAAGCCCAGGGAGAAGAGTATCTTTCTCAAGCCTAAAAATTTATTCCAGCCTGTATTCCTGCCTCAGGTATAATCTACTCCTACTAGACTGACAGTCGGAATATCCACCCTCATAATGCAAAAACCACCTGCACCAATTAGAATGCAATCCTGCTTTATGGCCCATGTAGGACACTTACATAGGCCAAGGTAGTTCAACCTCAATATGTTCTGGTTTATTTGATCTTAAATATCAAAGAAAAACAGCAATCCAATCCAAGCTGGAAAGAGCCAAGACCTTTAAACAGTTTATCCTCTAAAAAGGATATTAAAACCATATCATCAGCTTCTTCTTCCAGTGTTTATCTCATCTCCTGTAATTATCTGCTCAATCAAGAACAAACCAAAACCAATTCCATAAAAACTAGTAACTATAAATTTATAAAAATCAAGAGATATTTCTGCAAATCAACCAGTCTATCCCATCTTCTCTATTCCTTTTCCTTCTCACATCCTGCTCTCTGCATCAAAATAGCAAGGACACTTTATCTTGACTCTAGTTTATCCATAGCCAACAATATCTATTCCCAAATTAAATACATAAGTTTTCATTCACATAACTCATGTATCCTGCAAAGAACAGCACCTGGTTGACCCTACTTCTGCTTCTTTTGCAATCACGGCCATACTATGTGGCATTCCTCTTGTGACAAGATGGACAGAAAAGGCTAAACTGAGACCTGTGCTCATTTTCTGTAGGTGCACAAAGTGACTTAGGGATTGCCGACAGTGTGCAAAGTTGCATAGTATTATTTATTTGCCCTCCCCCACAATCCCAATCCTGCTTCTTCTGCTTGGCTGCAAACAATCATCCTGCTTTGTGAAATCCAAAATCATGACTTTTATCCTTTTTGTTTATGCTGTATCTTCAGCTGTAGGAACTACTGTTATCTCTGCCCTTTGATGCATGGAGGTTACATAAATACAGTTTCTCCTCTTAGTGGAGAAAATTCTTTCTGTATCTTCATGGTTTATACTTGTTTTATTAAAATGTGGTCTATTTTATAAATAAGTATCATGATACTGAACCAGAAATATGGAATTTTAAGCCTTGAGCTTTAGGATGCAGTAGATAATAACAGTGGGATTTTGCTCAGTCTTTTAAACTCTATTTCAGCTTCTCCCTCCATAAAATGGGCTGGATTCTCTTTGTTGCACAAGTATTTTTTGACTGACATTCTAGTACACTTTAGAATTGTGAAACAAGAAAATTTCTGTTCTTTATGAATTACCCAGTTTGTGGTATTTTATTAAAGCAGTACCAACAAAGACTAAAGAAGATATGTAGTACTGTAAAAGTTTACAACTTGAAGGAATGATTGAGAGAACAAAGTTTAAGAGTGTGAATCTCTTGTACTCCTTCCCATTTGAAGACTTCCCTCCTTCCTATTATCTGTTTTGCTCTTTATTTGTACTTTGAGTTTCTCATATAAGGAAACAATGCAATATTTGGGAAGGGAGAAAAGGGGGATAAAAAAGAATAAAAAAAATTGGAGATAGAGCTTTTGCAAATGAGAAAGGGCCAAGAGCTGAGAGGAGTATGTGTGTGTGTGTGGGGGGGGAGAATTAGGTTATGTTATGTACATGTACTAGCTCCACACGAAGAATGTAATTATTACGTACTGCAAACATCGACTAATAAAAATTAAAAATGAGTGAATCTACAGTGGAAAGAAAAGAGAGTGAAGAGAAGATGATGAGCAGGAAAGAGTGATAAATGTTGGTTTGTTTCTTGCAAACTTTGAGCCTACAACTCTTTCCACCCTTAAATTTACTTTCATGACACAGAATTTCAAAGTTATTTGCCACCACTTTAAAAAAAATACTGCTATTGTTCTGGAATTTGTACCTAAATAGGTACAATCTAGTTTTTTATACATTGACATAGAGAATAATACTTTTCTTCTTCTGAAAGCCTGAGAACAGAAGACAACAAAAGGCCGCCTAGCAGGGTGGTAATCTGAGTATTGTAGGACCTCACATTTCCATGCCCTGACTGCAGTGGAAAGCCATGCTCTTTGAAGACACAGTGGACTATGTGGGAAAGAATGACTCAGCAGTGGAATCAGTGCTATGTCCAAAATTGTATATTTTAAATTTATAGCTCTCTTCCGAGAATAATTTCTATTATGTCAGATGCACCCAGAGGAAACACATTCATCTTTGACCTGTGATTGTCCAAACCTGTTCTCATTAAGTCAGATTGCATTTAGTATATGTGGAAAAGGCAAGTCTGAATGGTAAAGGGTATTTTTCACCATGGAAGAACATATTCTACAGGGTCAGAGCTGCTGATGACTATGAAAATTTGCTCCCAGACAGTTTTTATTGAAGAACAAAATAATCTGGAAGATCAACAAAATGTTGAACATTCACAACCTCCTTACTCCTTCTGTGTGTGCTGGGGCCAGGATAAGAGAGTTCTAGGTATTTTTACACCAGGGCCCTAAGGGACTGGAAGTGGTTGCCAGCTCAGCCTGGTCCAGCAAGGATAGAGGTGTAGGTCACACAAATGGCAGGGCAAAGAGCTCAACTTTGGGGTCAAATGCTCATATTAGAATTCTTTCTCTAGCTAAGTAGAGCCTCCATTAAAATGGTAAAAGAAGAGGAGACTCTGACCTGAGCTGGGTTGGACTTTTTTTTCTCAGTGGCAATAAGTGCAATGTCTTCTTAGAAAAGAGTCTTTATATCAGGGACAAACACCTGTGATTATTATTATTAAATCTCTGGTTATTACTGAGAACTGTGTGGAAAGTAAGTTACTGTTTGTAAGATGCTGACTACTTACCCAGAAACCAACATATATATTCTACTGAGAAAAACACTCAGCAAATCATATATAGCAACAGCAGATGGTGCCTACAGCAGAAAGTTTTTGTAGATTATCTGACCGTGTTAACAGTTAGATGGCAGCACAATCACAAGAATATTGTTTCTTAAAACCACAGGTCCTCATTGCTCTACAGTGGCAAATTCCATCATCATTTATGAAACATCTTCCCTATCAACTTGTGTGGGTCACTAGAAAGAATTTTGGATTAGAAAGGCATGATTTCTAATCCCAACTCTACTACAGGCAGAACTGATATTGAAAAATTTCTAGCTCATTACTTTCTTCAACTCATGTTTGGTGGGGTTCAGCAAGCGGAGAATTGGGTTTGAAGGAGTCTCTTTAAGTGCCAAGTGTATTCCTGATTTATCATAGGATTTTCACTTTCAGAAAAGTTAAAGGAATGTTTGTTTTTCAGAGCAAGTATCACAATTACAAGAATTTGCAAGGTTCATGGATGAACAATCACATTAATAGAATGGCAGGCAGGTGGCTGTTAACCTTGTCTAGACATAATTATGAAGTCAGTAAGAGTTCATAATTGTTGGAGAACTTGTGAAGCTGAAAAATCCTAAGTTTAAGCTTCATACACTATTTTATAACAGATGCCAAGTTAAGGTTGTATCATAATCAGAAACTATTCACCTTTGAAGGAGCTAATAGAGAAGAGAATTATTGCCAACATAACCCAGAAAAATGATAGTTCATTATTTAAGTACCCCTTCAACTATTTCTGGTTAACATTTTAAAGATGAGCATACATTTAAACACAGAGATATCTTCTTCTATTAAATATTCAACCATCATTTGCTGCTAATCAAATCTTCATGCTCAAATAATCTTTATTAAGTACAATATGTGTATCATGGTATGTTAGATACTATGTAAAGAAAAAAACCTGGCATGAACACAGATGCCATATAAATAGGCAAGCAGAATAAAATTCTTCAATGATGGGAAGTGTGGCAATGTCAGGCAAGAACCTGAGTTAATAAATGAATAAAAACTATAGTAAAAGGACTTAATAAGTTCCTACTTACATAGCTTTCTTGCATGAAACATATATGTTTTTATATTGTATATAAGGGCACATTTTGCTACTTCTCTTTTTAGGATATTCTCTCTTTTAATACTTTTAGCAGCTGCATTTAACCAAGGACCTTGAAAAAATTTTATTGCACTTGCATTATACATAAGCTTTAGAGCTCAGATTTTTATGGTTTGGGTAAGTAACTCTGGGAATAATGGCCACATAAACTGTTTTTGAAAAAGAACTATTGATTTTTAGACTCTTTCATAGTAATGTTGAACTTCTTTCATTAATTAATAACTATATTTATGTATTCATATTTTAATTCATTTATGAATTATATTTCTTTAACAAGTAACCCCTGTCCTAATTGCAGATATGTAATTGTTATGGCTTGTGCCTAGATGTTGCCCCCAAACCTCATGCAATCAAAGGTGGGCTTTTTCAGAAGTGGATGGATCTAAAGTGTGTGGTGTTGAGATTAAGGGTGTGTGATTACTAAATTAGTCCACTGATTGGTTTGGCATAGTTGTGGGAATGAATAATGGGAAGATCCTCCTTAGGTGTGAGTGCTACCCACCCTAAGGCCAGTTACCCTAGATACAATATAAGGGACAGAAAGTGTGTCCCTGCTTGTCATTTGCTGCTTGCTACTTGCTTGCTGACTTCTGCCTTCCCTGAACTGTTTCTCTTTTTGCCATGCCATGCTGCCTTGGAGCCAGTCAACTATGAACTAAAACGTCTACAAATTGTGCACTAAATTAATCTTTCTTCCTTTAACTTTGGATGTTGAATATTTAGTCTCAGCAATGAGAAAAGTAACTAAAATAGTCATTTTAGAAAATCACGTGCTCTTTGCTTCCAAAAAACTCATGGTCTGGGTATGGCGAGGTGGGAGAAAGAGAGACCTATTGCAGAAAACAAAAGGATCCTGTGAACTATGCCCCACTGGTGGTATGGGTGCTACCCATACAAAAATAACACTAATGCTTTACCAAACAACAAAATAAACTGTGCATCCATCAACAAAATATGTTCCCTCTACACAAGGTCCAAAACAGAATTAATCAAGCCAAACAAAACCCAGAAGAGTGCTTATGTACAGTTCACATACTCTCAAAATCAGTGTCTACCATAGCATCACATGTTTCCCTTAGTGGATGGCAGGAACCTTATCAGCCCAAGCTATTGTGGACACCATACTACATGTAGGAAAAAGCATCAGAAATCAGCTGCTACATATCAGAATCATCAGGGGATCCTTGTTAAAAATACAAAGCTGTGGACTTCCCTCCTGATCAGGGGTAAAGCTTGGAAATCCTTATTTTTCACATGAGTCTCAGGTCATTTTAATTATTAGCCCGATTTAGGCAAACAGCCTTAAATAAATTCAGCATTTGCAGCAACTTACTTAGCACCAAGCAGTGGGTGGGAGAGTAAATGTATCATCCTTGCTCTAACAGAGTCCTTTTATAAAACCACAATTTAATCTAAAATCCCAGAGGCCTTAAATTATCAGGAGATAACCTTTAAACACTATAGAGGAGAGGAAAAGACATATTTTATTTTATATTATTCATGTTGTTTCCTAACCAAAGTGTCTCCTCTCTCCTAACTTAGGTTTCCTTCTTTGACTAATTCCACCATGAGCTGTTAAACTGTTTTACATGGCTAATTAAATGTTAAATGAAATAATTTATTTGAGGAAGACACTAAAGCTTATCAAGATGTGTGCACTGGCTCACAATGTATTTGCACCTCTTAGCACCGGGGGTCATATGCCAGCTCTCTGCCTGCTCCACTGCTCTATCATCTGATGCTGTAGCATGAGGGCCCCATCTAAGAGCTAGTGCGTCAAGGCTTTATATCTGAGACACATGGACTAGGGTTTTTTGTCCTTCCTTTGTCAGACAGAGGCTAATAGGGTAGGTTTCTACTGAATGGACCTTTCTTAAAACTAAAGTACGTTTTATAATCTTGTCAACTTTATGCACTCACTTAAGCAGTAAGAGGAATAATGGCATGCACTAGAGATCAAGTCTAAAAAGGGAACTGAGAGCCAAGACCTTGGTGTCTCTCTCTGCTTCAGAGGCCTCCTGCCATACGTTTTCTCATCCTCTTCTGCCAATGCAAAATGTCACCTCTTCTCTGAACCTGAACCAGTGTCTTGGGGTCCCATCATTTGCAGTCCCAGAGGAATTGCAATGAGAAGTCTCACTCCATTTTTTGATGTTTTACCTTTTAAGCTTCACTTTCCCTCTTCCCCTCATGCCCTGCCCCTGGGCAAGCTGATAGGAAAGTGGAGTGCTTCCCCTTTCTATCCAAGGAGAGAGGTTTGAATGACACAAACTCATCTGGTCTCACATTCACCAACTACAGACCCAAGCCAATCTGCTTTCCTAGCTCACTCTGACATTTTCGACTGCTTGAGAGATCTGAACTGCTCTCCCCAGGGACCTCAATTATGTAAGTAATAATTTTTTTATATTCTCTTATGTATGTATATGTGGTATTGACATCACAACCAGATTTTAGATGAAAATCCATCTGGCTCTGCAAGTGTATAACAAGTGTCCAGTGTAGTCCAGTTTGAAATTTATTATGGCTTGCATCTGGATGTCCCCCCAAAGGTTCATGGTCATAGATGGGCTTTTTCAGAGGTAGCTGGATCTACAGTGTGTGAGGCTGGGATTAAGGGTGTATTATTAGTAAATTAGTTTACTGATTGGTTTGGCATAATTTTTGGTAGGATTGAGGGTGCCCCACCCTGGGTGTGAGTTCTAGATGCCCTAAAGATGGGTAGCCTGGATAAAAATGTACAGGACACTCAGTGGTTCCACCACCTGCCTTGCAAGCACAAGGTCCCAAGTTTGATCCTCAATACCAAAAAAGGTAAGGGACAGAAAGAGGGCTAGTGTGGTCACTTGTAGCTCCCTTTTTAATTTTTTATTAATTATCTTGGTACATTTAAGGTATACAATATAATGACATTCATCATTGGACATTTTCACCTTTACATAACCCATCTTGGCTCTTATTTTTCCCCCTTCCCCTGCCCTCCCTTCAACCCCTCTACCCCTCCCTATCTACAAAGACTTTGTTTCCATTTTTTTTCTCATACTAATTCCATTTCCTTCTTTCTTTTCCTCTACCCCTCCCATTTCCCCTTCCCCTTTGCACCTTTTCTTCCTATTTCACACTATTTATTATACCTTTTAGTACTTATGTAGCTCTCTTGTAGGTGCCTTCTGCCTTCTATCTTTTGCCCACCATGATCTGTTTCTCCTCTGTGATGCCTCTGTGCCTTGCCATCCTGCCTTGAAGCCAGCTGATTATGGACTGAAACCTCTACAAACTGTGAGCCAAAATAAACCTTTCCTCCTTTAACTTTGGGTGTTGGTTATTTTGTCTCAGCAATAAGAAACACAACTAAGATAAAAGTCCAATATCATATATAATTTAAACTGGTACCTATTACCAATGCTATTTCAGGCTTAGGACACTGAATTTTGCACATGTGCACATACCTATATATGCTTTTTTTCTTCTCTGCATCCCCAGTTTGGGTTTAGGATTGTCTGGGAAATGGCTTTACTGTGAGGTCATTTGTTCTTCTCCTTTACAAAAGTCAACCCCACTCATCCCAAGTGCTAGTAGAATGAACAAGAGAACAAAGAACTGAAGCTTTTCATGAACTGGTTATGTGATTACCATTCTTTCCTGTTATTTCCCCTGATTCTCTGGTTAACACTGCCCGCCGTCAATGCCACCTTCATGGTAGATGTTCACGTGCTGGAGCTGACATCAAGTACAGCTATTAGTTCTGCAGGGTTCTGCTTTCACTCCCTTGTACTGTTACCCTTCAAAATAATGCATAGCTTTCTTGTTTCTGGGGTTTCTTGTCTGGTGAAATGTCTTTTGAGATGCTTACAAGAAAGTTGAGCTGGGTTACTTATCACAGTGCCATTGGAAACATATGCAACCCATGTCAAAAGGCTAGGAGTGCATACCAGTCCCCAGCTCACCCATCTGTTTGTTGCCACTTTGGCAGATGCAGTCATGCTCAACAATTATTCCATGTGCTTCCCTATGTTTCCCCACACTTTCTGCAGAAAAGAGAGCATCATCCAACTAAATGTGATCAACACTGTACCAGTGGAAATTCCATGCACCACATCTGGTCAAAGGCAATTAAGAGAAGATGTGAGTTCTTCATAAACCCGACTCACCACCAGAAAGTCATGATTGATATGACAGCACCACACGATGGCTCATCCTGGAACTCTGTGTAACAATGTAGGGTAGGATTCCATCATTCACATTAGACACAGAAGGTGAAAAAGAAGCAGCTCTGCTATATAAATCATTTAGATTAGGAGGTTACTTTGTCACTGGAGGAAACCTACCTTCCTATTTACCTATGAATCTAGGTAGGTGGATACATAGAATTCTTTTATCTAGATATATTTATTATTTGAACTTATTTAAATATAAACCACATCTTCAGTTATATGTTGGATATATGGTAGAAGTGTTATTATATATGATGCTGTTATAAATTATTATTATAACATTGTATGTCTATATAGTATATATTTTATATAATTATTTTATATATGTTATACAAATGTTTTATATGTATAAAATATATAATGCATCCTGGTACATGAAATATACTTAATATAATTAATACAATTGCTATTAGTAAAATAAATGGTGAAATAACTTGCAACAATCACTATCTGAAAAATCAGAGGCATAATTATTGTGGAAAATAAACAAATTAGTAATTAATACAAAATTGTTATATCCATTGAGAAAAGACCATTAGAACACACACAGAAAAGTGATTTACTCTGTGATTAACAAATAGATGATATATAAGACAATTTTTAAGACTTGGAAAAGAGAGATAGAGATGTAGAAAATTAAGAAGATAAAATGTCACATCTACCACATGTAGCTATGAGACCCAACCCCGGGTGCAGAAGCCCAGGGACCTGCTGAACTGTCACAAGCCTGGCACAGCACAACTAAACAGGCAAGGGGAGGTGCACACCTCTTCATTGTGGAATGAGGCCCAGAGTTTTGAGAAACCCAGTCTCCTGATCCAGAAACATGGATCTGCAGACCAGAAGCAGCAAGGGAGCAAGACTGCATCCTGTAAGTGATGCTTGGCACCTAAGGAGGAGATGCAGAACTGTCAGTTCATAAGGCAAATTGAGAGGCAGCAAGACACAACTCAAGTCTAATACAAAAGTTCCATTGTAATAAGGACCCTGGGTCATCCAGAAAGCTGGAATCATGTTCAATAATTTGGATTTTAGAAGGCACCAAATTAGAAAATATATTTTATTTAAGCAAACATGAAAATAGCTACCTTAGAAAATATTGGAACCAAAAGAGTCATTATCAACCCTTCACTTTTGCCCTTAGAGCTCTGATTCCACTCTTCCTTTGGGGTCTGGGGCATATGGCCAAGTTTCTTAAGAAGAATTTTGGAGGGTGCGGGAGATTCAATTGGAGAGTACTTGGTAAGCCACTGCACCCAGCTGACCTGAGTCACTTGAGTGTTACCTGAGGAGACCCCTACACCTTTACCAAAGTTGCCAGTGTAAACACATAACTAGGAAAATAAAATTTCTTCTTGCCTCAGTACTTGCTCTCCAGAATTTGAGTTTTATATACCCATCATGTCAAAAGTGCTTCTCTTGGATAATCCTTGGATCCAAAATGTTTAATTATCCAAAATGTGGCTCTACTGGTGAAACAGAAAATACAAGTTACAGATACAAGCTTTCCTTAAAAGTTGCAGAATCAAATTATTTGTCATTACTGTATGTGAAAGCTGCTTAGATGCATTTTTTGGTCTTACTGCCACTGATTTGCATAGGTACATTCAGGCTCCTAATAAAATTCCAGAAACACTGGACAGTGATATAACACAGGACCTGTTTACCAGAGCAGTTGCAATTTGCTTTCTTGGGCAAAGCTTTATTTTTGGAGTGACAAATTAGGGTTTTAAAAAGAATAGACCAGGGAGGAGCCTTCCAGGCCAACTTACAACCTCACCAAGCACCAAGGAGCAGAGCCACCCCCAGCACAGAAGAGGTGAACCATGCCAGTGCCAATGGCAAACAATCCCTCAACTCCCAACCCACCCATGGAAATGAGAAGACACATGAACAAGTCTCAAAACCAGACTTCCAGATCACCTACAACAACCACAAAAGGAAATGAAATGGAACAGTCTGATACTCAACCATCTAGACTCCCTGAACTGGAAACAAAAGAGGATCTGGAAAAAATGAAATCAGAAATAATTTCTCACATAACACCAAAGATTGTCCCCATAGGTAAGACATGATTAATAAATCCATAGAGGACACAGATAAAAAAAAAATAGAGGAGCTGAGAAACATGATGGAATCCCAACATAGGAAACAAATGGAATCCATAAAACAGATGCAAACAGATTTCCAGGAGAT